TTACCGTAGGTGGCACGGTATTTTTGTCCCATTTTGATTACATTATTTGGCTTGAAGGTGTAGGGTGGGATAAACTTGAATAGGTAAGGGAACCAGCATGGTCGGACCATGTAATGGGGTTAATTTAAGGTGTCAAAGTTGGTTTTTCTAATTTTTTCCTTTCAAAAAATAAAATTTATCACTTAACTATTTTAAACAGCATCAATCATTTAGTTGAAGTGTTTTTACGGTTATTGGTTACGAAGAAAATTCTAAAATAATTGATTTTGAATTTCCCATACTTCTCTTATGGAGTATAAGTAACCTGTTGTAAGCTTAGTTTGCTAGTTCGTGAATAAATTTTGATAAAACTTGGCAAATAATTTTATACCAAGCTACTAACATTTTACTGCAACAAACTTTAAAACATTACCTTTACATTTTTACATAACATAATGGTAATGTTTATCAAATAAAGTCTGAATGGAATACATTTGATAAAAATATAGAAGGGGTGTGGAATTATTTCCTAAAATAATCATAAAGTAATACGTAAATAAATATTGGGTTATATAATAGGGTCACTAACACAAACACACTGTGTGTTTGTTTGGTCAATAGACAAGCGTGCTACGGTTGGTATACCTGAGGGAGGTGTGTTGGGCAACCTTTCCATCGAGTAATTGTGAGCGGTACAGTATTATACATGTTGATTTTGGAAAAATATGTTTCCCAAACAATTTTGTCATTAAAAAATGAACTAGTAGTTCCGTTATAACATAATAAAATAACTTGATACCATTAAAATAAACACAAATTGACGAAGCATGGCAATATGACGGAAATTATGTTATTTCATTCCTAATTATATTACTATATTATTAACTTAGTTTGTCACAAGCTTTTGTGACAAATTAAGTTAATAATATAGTAATATAATTAGGAATGATAAACGTAATAATATACATATGATAATAAACATACACGTAACATGTTTTATGAAAGGATGGCAAGAAAAGGATTATGAAAGCTATGCACTTATGTCTTCTTTGCTAGTAAAAAATAGAATGAAGGCATGGGAACAGAATGATAAACGGGTTTAGGCATTGTTTTGACTATAGGCTTAATGGTTTGCAAAATCAATTGATACCTTAGGCAATGCAGGGGATTCAATGTACCAATTTGTATTTATTAGATGCTGATAGACCAAAACATATTTTTGTTTAAATTATTAATGAGAAAACGTGACCGATGGATTAAGTAAAATTAAATACCTTCTAAAAACTTTGCCACTTTCAAACGCTCAGCGAACCTAAGACATTTTAAAGTTTATTGGTATCATATTAGATAATTATTATCTGCAAAAAATACTAAAACCTTGTGACCAAAGTGTTCGATTTGGATAGTAAATGTAGGTGTAAAATTTAAACAAGTGGACCACTTTGTCGATTGGCCTTTAACCAGGACTTAAGCACTGAGTCCTGCGAGAAAATCGGATTAAGCTTCAATGAGGTTGTGCCCGACGTAATGCTGTATTCCGGAACACCCCAAGGGCGACTTCTTTGAATGCCTTCAAAGGGGTTTTTGTAATTGGCTGTTGATAGAAGGTGCTACTTTGTAAAACGTGACATAATCAACTTTATAGAATCTATAACTACAAGTAAACTATTGGTGGAAATCGAGCTGTATTCCTTTGCGACCCTAATCAAGGATTACACTCTGTATAAGGAAACAAAGTGTTTCCCTGTTATCATTTTCAATATTATACAAACAAAGGTTTATAGACTTAAATTTTATCCACACACGAATTAGTGGTTTATCGTATAATAGCAGACAAAATGTAAAAATGTGTAGTACAGCTTGAGCTTGTATAGAATTACATCCAGACAGTTTTAATCTCAAAGATTATTTTAACTAACTCTTGGTTTTTGTTCAAAAACGTTCCTTTGGCTGTGATTTTAAATCAACAAACGTAACCGTTTCCTTTGATATAGCTTTTTACAGGTCTGGTGGAAACGATATAACGCATGGGGTTCCAGTAAATACTGTTAATACAATCTGTAGCTGATGGATTAGCTAACAGGCTTGTGTTACTATGACATATTTCCTTTACCGCTTATATTTTTAAGAAATAGGGTAACTGAATAATCCCCAAATAACAAACTATCTTAACTGTATTTGAACACCAGTAATATTGTTACTTCGTCTACTGACTAATCATAACCAACACTTTAATCACAAATGGGTGGCCTGAGTTTTGTTCCACCCATGTCACAAGGGTTTTTCAACAGAAAACAACACTTCATTTTACATTTCAATAATGTGGTTATAGTAAAGGTACATACAATAAAAGTAATATCACATGTCGGGATCAATAATTACTTGAGTGATTCAGCCTTTCATTAGCATTGTCGTTTGAAAATAAACATGTTGTTAGGGGTTCATTTATGGCCCTTAGGAAAATAAATTGATGCGTTAGAAAATAAATTTATAGATTGACGTTTGAAAAATACTCGATAGGAATTAAAAGAATCTGGAATAATCAAACATTTACGCAAAAATATTTTTTTAAGAAAACATCCTATCCTATCAAAAAATATGCAGGATTTTATATTTTAGTTTCCCACAATAAACAAAATGATGTTGTTTTTTTCATCCATCCCAAATACCACAATAATAAGGGGTTTGATGTGGACCATACATTCATGTTATTCACATAAATTTCATTATATAACGAAAAATTTAAAACTAACATGAAAATAACGTACCCGAACTTACCAAATGAGTTAAATTAAGTATGCTTAATATTAATAGGAAGATACCGGTGAAGAACCAATTTACTTGGAGAAATATACTTGGGAAATAAACAAATTTAGATAAACGGTAGGAAAATATAATTAACTATTAAACAGCGGATAAAAAATTACCTAAAGCGTAAAATGATTAAAAAACATTCAGAAACGCAATAAAAACTTTACAGAACCTTACATTTAAATTGACATGAAATAATTCATTATCATTATCTTCTTTAAAAATATTTTGGTAAGAGTTTAATTCAACATCATATTCTGTGAAAGGATGGCATTATTGAATAAATCCATAGAGAGTTTTGCATGGATAAATATAAGGGACAAACATGACTATAAACAGTTGGTTGGGTCAAAGCCCCGCTCCCCCCGCGGCCGGCGCTGTAGAATTGTGTAGCCGGAATGCGAATGTAGCGCAGAAAATACAACGGGACTGATGGAGTGTGACAGAAATTAACGCTCTGTCCACCAGAGAAATGTCTCAGTGTTTATATGAGCCCGAATAATACAATATAATAATTCACCTTATTCTGTACGTTTCAGAGTAAACAGTTCAATAATATCACACTGACCAGAATCTAGCGGTAAAATCTATCGGCAGGTCACTTGTATTCCAATAAATTTTATATTGTTAACAATATTATTTTATTAAGCAGGAAGGAGGGGTCTTAACATGTTACTGACGACTTGAAATGTAGCGTGTAGGGATGGAATTAAATGTCGGGATTGAAAAACTTGATTGCTAAGTTATATTTATAAAAAGTTAATGCATCCACAATTTTATGCATTTGAGTCTACTTTTGACTTAACTAGACTAGACCAGCCACGAACTTTTTTGTGTACATTTTGTTTACGAAATTTCTTAAAAACATACAACGGTGTTTAAATGATTAATTTGTGTAAACTAGGTTACGTTATGTTATGAAAGTCCATCAATAACACTTTGTTTTGAATACTAAATAAGAATTATGAATTCAGAGGTGTATACTGACATATTTAAAGTAACCAATGCTACAGTTTTATTTTTTTATTTTACTCACATATTTAATAAATTAGAGGAATGGATCAGGGCTGAAATGAATTATACCACATCGCTTGAACAGTTATTTTGAAAGGAAGTTATTCCCTCGCGGAGTCCGGCAGGAGAATATTAATATTATCTTTGTTTCTTGAAAAAGTAGGAAGAAGGAGGGAAGTCCCCACTACCAATATTTTAAATGTGGCCTTGGTAAAAACAGCTGTTTTAGGATGATAATTTTTCTTTTAATATATTGACAAATTTGACAATGACAAAATTATTGTTTGCCATAAGTAAAAAGAAATAACTCTATTAAACTTTCAGGTCAAATTGATCTCACTAGATAAACATTTTACACGTTTCATTGGATACAACTCTCGCTTAGCGTTCTAAGTTTCAATCACGAAATTATTGATAAAAAATAATAAGCTAATTAATCAAACGTATACAACCATTAGAGTATTTTGTTTGTATCCCTTGAGTGAAACAGACCAACGGATAAATCAGTTTTGGTTACATTTAATTAAGTTTTAACGTCATTTACATTACTATTACACCAAACCTCAAGTGAAGCCGAATTGAATAAAGCTATGATCCATTTTTTGACTTTCACATTATACATTTTGATGATTAAATATTATAATATTTATTTTGAGCTATGAATATTATGTTAAATAGATTTTATTGGTTTCAAATCATTATTAATATAAATAAAACTCGTAGGGATTACGATCGTGGTTGGAATATCGTTAAAAAGTTCATTTTCAAATAAGAGCTAATCTAAGTTTATATAGAGATGTAATTATTTGTTCGTTCACTAGAAACCCTTTTTTCATTTCATGATGATCGCAGTGTTATGTTGTATACATGCAAGACATGGTAGAGACTAAAAAGCTTCTACTCGGCTCCCACCCAGGTGCAAAAGCTAATACAACAATCCCACTTGACGCGGATATATAGCGATGTTCAACTCTCTTTCTAGAAACCTTACATTCGCTTCCAACTGAAAAAGAGTTGTTTACCAATGAACTGCGCAGTTGAAAAACCACGAAAAAACACAAATCTCAAGTCTAGTTCGATTAGTTCGAATTCGTAACTACGATGAAAAGAGGTTAACTCCAAACTGTTTGAAACATCCAACCAAATCAAGTAGCCAACTCTAAGATCACTTGGGTTAAAGTTATAGGATCACTTACCCAGAGCCATCGAGCGAGAGACAGCCTTTGGAGGAGACGAGCTAACTACAGAAGACTAGTCAGTCTGAAACATATAATCGATATTTAGACATTTAATGCAAAATGTGTTTATAATTATTATGAGAACGAGCTGTTGGCCCATCCTACGTACGGGAATCGAGTAGTCCATTAAAACTGTATATAGAGTGTCTATTACTAATTCAAGCATAGTTTAACCATTTCAACATTTATAGTTAAGAAAAAAGCTTCCAAGATTAATTAAAACATGTGATCATTGTTATTTTCCCAACCTTTCCTCAAAAAGTCAAGTAGTAAAATAATTTTCATAAGCTTTCTTTTAAAGATTCAGATTTCTTTTAAAGATTTCACTAAAACGAACTAAATTTTAATATTTTAAAGACTTATTTCCTATGATCAATGACAAAATCACATAGTAAATAAACTAACCCCATAGTTCTATTGATTTTTTTTTTTATTCAACCAGCTGTTAGTTATAACAAATTATATTGGAAAAATAAAACGAAATATTTTTAAGACTGCTAAAAAAAATTAGAACATCTAAAACATTTGGTCTAATTTGGTAAAATCTATGTAGGCATATTTAAATAAACTCTCATCCTCTTACCGAATAAATGAACGTATCAATAATTATAGCATTACACATAGTATAAATAAGTCAATTCTATGTATGTAATTTCATTTTCATCCAAAAGCTGAATTGGTGTCAAAAACACTGAATGTTTACAGCTGTTACGTTCGTTAAGCAAATGGTATTATACCAAAAGCTACAGTAGAATGTTAGCGTCGACTGCTAGACTTTTTAAAATTTTAAACTTATTATCTAAAACACTGAAACCCTAAACTAAAATTATGGCTTCGACATTCCCTAGTTCTCAAAATTATCTTTCTTTCAACACAAAAATCATGAAAATCCGTTAAGTGGTTGATTCAGAATCGTGAAATAAAAAACCCTGTCACGTTTTAATATAATAGATTGTTTTAAATGTAAGCTGTTGTGTTTTTGTAATAATAGAAAAAGTCCCTTTAAATGTATTGATGTGTAACATTTTAAGTGTAGAAAATACTAGTTACTAACGAACTTGGTCTCCTGTACTAATAATGTACGTGTATAATAGGTTTTAATAAACTTAAGTGTAATTAACTGATCCATCTAAATTTGTTATACATTAATTATTTAAATATATTTTTTCTTGCTCACGATATAATAAAGGAACATAAATATGTATATATTTACTTAAAAAATACTTCGTATAAACCCAAGTCAATGCTTACAAAGTGCAAGTATCAACTAAAAGCTAAAAATACCCAACTCAAGCTAATGGTATATGCTTCACTTAATTTTGTAGGTTAAATAAAAGCAGAGACTGACTGTTGTTTGTGAATACTGGTTATAAAAGAAAACTATGGACAATTTTGTTAAATAACTTTATCACCTTGTTTCAAGACTGGAAGAATCGGAACACCCTTAAGCACTAGCATTAATATGAATAAATATGGAATCTATTTCGCGCTAAAATCGTTATAATGTGTGTTTGTGTCAAATTATAAATAGTTTTCGTGGCGTCAAACTTTTTATCTTAGTTTCTACTTAGTTTGTATTTGTGAGAAATGTACAATATCTAATTGGTAAGAGCTTACGGGTAGCAAACTAGACAATGTAGTGAAAAAATACTTGTAAGGATGCAATGACGAAAAACTAAACACACCAACTACATATTCTTAATTAGCATTGACTTACTGAATTTCATAAAACTTTAGAATACGTTCAAGAGATCTTAAATTGTCATCTTTAGATCCTATGAGTTGGTTAGATTAATTCAAATTTTAACAGGGTGGCTTTGTGAACTCAATTTCTAAAATTGAGACGTAGGGGAGAGTGTTTTACCTTTGACCATCTCGTACCTTTGACCACCAGTCATATAGTGAAATCTAGAGGATGTATAGGAAAGCTAATGAAACTAGTTCATAGATCAACCACCAGAGGACTTCTTCACCTTGCATTGGAGATTGAAAACTGTGTTTGTTGGGAGATATTTTAGTTTATTCATTTTTGCTACTGGAAAGTAAAAATTTGTTGACTTATTGTTTGTTTTATAAAATGTATATTTTTCTACAAATAAAAGTGAAAGTGAGGGGTTATTATTTGATGTTTATCCTCTAACTTCTCTTGGATGTTTGAAACTGATATTATCACATATCTTTTGAGAATATATATAAAATGGCGGAAAGCGCTAGTGCTGTACCTTTGACCAGGTCAAAGGTACAACATCATCTGTATTCAATGTAGTTATAACTGGTTTTTATTGAAATATGTTAATGTATTAATATTAAGCCATTGTTTTGTGGAAACTACAGGAGGTTGTCACCAAGCTCCCCAACACTGCCAAATCAAGTGGATAAGCACGTCAAAGAGAATTTTTCAATTTTGCAGTGGACTTTTTATCCTAAAAAGTAGAAAAAAACCATTTTTTAATCTTGATGAAATGAATAATAAGTTCGTTTTTGTGTGTATGGTTTTATATTTTTAAAACTATCATATAAGATATATATTTGTTTTTTTTTCTACCTGTTTTGGCTGAAATCGATATGCTGGTCAAAGGTACAACACCCACTGGTCAGAGGTACAACTGCATGTTAAACCTTTGACCACCATGTAACAAATTTTCTTTATTGTACTAAAAATAGGTTAAAACTTATGACAAGGAACTGGAAAAAATATTTAATCCATGGACAAAACAGTTAAGTATCATCGTTGATTGTTTTTAAAATAATTGGAGCATTCCTGTCTCTACAAAAAATGTTTAAGTGAAAATTGGTCAAAGGTACAACACTCTCCCCTACCTGTGAAATAATAATATTGTTTAGTAGCAATTTATATGGATTGCATACACATTTCCGGCGTCCTGAGGTTTGCCGTATTGTCTTCAAGGCCTTATTTCTGAAATTCTTCTTCAAGACGTTCCTTCTTTGACAGTTCAATTTTGAGCGTATGACCTTCTTCGTAAAGTTCAGTAGCTCAAGTTGTTATATAACATATATTTTATCGTACCTACCCGATTTTGAAGAGCAGCAAATTAAGTCTGGGGCAATTTAATCAAGCAACTTAAATGTAGACGAGGAGTTATCGAGTTGAAGAAACCGCAAATTTCACGGAAGGGAAGAGAAGAGCCGCAAAACGCAGCCTGGAACATGAGTCCAGCAGCAAACAGATGGGTCGAAACTTGAAAATAAATCTCACGAGGAGATTGTAACGGATAAACTTAGTTCATCAATAATATTTCTACCTTATGTCATTAAGAAAATAAAACTCCGTAGTATATTATTTTATGGTAAACATTTATATTACAGTACCATTATATTGTTCCTAATATTGATATGGTAAATTAAACAAATATTACTAATGTGGTCGACATCAAAGGCAATCAATTTTCGAATTGATAAAAGATGATTACACATAAAGTTTCTTGGCGTATTTAATTCTTAACATGCAGTAGAGTTTCCATGGTTTCACGTAGATATATTAGAGCTACCGATTTAAATATATTGGCTCCTATCTGTATTTCAAGATATAAAGTAAAATAAAATATATAAATGCCGGAGAAATACTGACACCTCATTTAAACCTGTTTAACATTCAAGCTGTCTCACCTTTTTATTGTGTACAATATCGGAAATAGTGTGTGCTTGGTTCGAAAGCCATTGTCGTTTCTTTTAACAAACCATGTGGTATAATGTATCAAGCATGGTGTTACATATTGTTCCCATTATATTATAAGAGAAATACCTTAGCATTGGCTTCAAAATTTTATAAAGTAAAACATACGTTTAATTTTTGTACGTATTAGTCCGTCTATCAATTTTGATAAACAGTTTAATTTTGAAGCCAATGCTAAGGTATTTCTCTTTAACAAAAATTATTTATTAAAACCATTTATATCCAATAATATCTACTTCTTGTTTAGGACCATGATCATAATTTAAATTTCTTAACTGAATAAAGAGTGTTTTCCTTTTGAATGAAGAAGTTCTTCGTAAGGACTTGTAAACCAAGTACAAACGCACAAAAACCTGAGCACAGAGATGTTTTTTTTTTAATACATAAAGATATTGTAAGAAAAGCAAGCTTACTGCATTTATATGTATAAGGAAATTTATTTATCTGAAAATTTAAAATTAAATCTTGCACTTAGTTTGGTTGTTTCAAGTATACAACTTTATAGTGAAACCACTAATATGTTATAGTATAATCTCTCCAGACGCTGCAACGGGCTGAGCTTTAGTTTTTTTGGCAGGAAATAATTAAAACTTATAACCCAGCGGGTAATTGTCGGGGAGTTTCACAAACTTTTATTGAAACGTAAATTTCCTTCTTTAATAATAGTTTCTTTATAGGCTCTTAGGTTTACGGGTTTCCTGAGAATTGAAGTCACCTTACAACGTATATAAACGACATAATTTGATGGCTGCAATGACGTCATGAAAATGTATTTTATGACGACTACAATATTGTTTAGGCTTTTCACTATAATATTTTATCATAGGGCATGGGATTGATAAAATAAGTAACGAAAATGTGGGCGTATACATACTTTTTGGTTAATCATTTATTTTAAGTTATCGGTTACATTATTTAACAGCAAATCTAGCAAGGTTACCCGCGTATAAACAGTCCAACATACTTTTAGATAATAAATATAAAAATTAAAACATTATTCATGTTTGAGTATGCTGTATAATATTCAATAGCTGATGTTGGACTTGTTACTTTAACATCTAGATCTAGTTCAATCATGATTATTCTTATAAATAATTCAAACAGTCTTAGTATGCAATCTAATTGAGGATGTAATGTTAGTCTTAGCGTAAAAGTGCATAAATACAGATCAATTTTTGATCGTAAGAGACCTCAAGGAAAAGAAGAATTTTTAAATATCTTAATTATATTTTATTAGGATCAAGATTGGAGAATGTGCAAGGCTCTTAAACATTTTGTCATCTCTCCTATGATATATTTCTGTACTTAAATCTTGAAGAAGCAGAGTT